GCGGCCTTGGTGGCACAGTAGATGCTGCCGCCGACGTAAGGCTCGCGGCCGGCAATGCTGCCGATGTTGATGATGTCACCGGCGCCGCCGTCAGGGCGCGCCTTGAAGATGGGGAGCACGGCTTGCGTCATGTTGATGAGACCCGTGACGTTGGTATGGAACATGATGTTGATGTCCTCCTCGGCGATGCTGGGCGCCTGGGCGACTGCGGGCTGTGTGTTAGTGATCCACAAGGGCTTCATGCCCGTCCCTTGTACAGACATGCTCGAGCCGGAAAACCCACCTCCCTTCACCAAGCCCCTATGTCGTATTTGTCAACATGCCATTTCCCATCTTCAAGAGCAGAAACTCACGCATTATTCACCAGCACATTGATGTCCCTCCACTCCTCCGGCAAGCCGGGGACAAATGCCCTTACCTCCTCGGGGTTGCTCACGTCGAGCTTGACAGGTAGCACCTTGACTCCACGGCCAACCGCCTCGCGGATCTTGACCGTCAGCTCCTCGAGCGCATCGAGACGGCGGGCGGTCAGAATCAGACGAAGGTTGTCAGGGGCGGTGCGTGCAAACTCAAAGGCGGTACTGCGGCCGATGCCGGACGAGGCGCCTGTGATGACAATCGTCTTGCCCGAGAGCCGCTTAGCAACGGCCGACATGGTTCTGGTTTTGGCAAGGCCTGTGAAAGGGGATAATTGAGATTTGCAGATTTGGGGAGCCCGCAGAAGAGGGACGCAAGGGGCTGTGAGTCTGGATGGGATTTCGTGTCCTTGCGACCGAGAACATGGGACAGTGTGAATGTGAGAGTACCTTGCATGAAGGGGATAAAGGAAAAGAGCTGACGCCATCGGTATCGGTGATCCACCGGGACAAACCGCTGAGAGGGCCGCTTAGCCGGTCCCTGGACTCGGCCCCACACAGGGCGGGCGGGATAGCGACCTTACCCCGCATCGCGCCATATTTAGCGGCCATCAAAGGCCGACTCCCAGGCATCGGAGATAATCAGGAAGCCCACCTGTCTCGGTTCTTAGTTTTGTTTGTCTCAGCCAAGGTGCGGTATCCAGTGGGTAGGTGCTGAAAATCAAAACATGTATTAAGTATGTATCGCTAATTTTTTTAAGCTGGTGATTTCCCCCCTGACTCCAGAGATATACCCTTCTTCTCTAATGCTGTAGTTTATAAGACTCCTACTCTTGTGCGCCATAAAAACGAGTCCGGTTCCCCATCTAATGACCCTGCCCCCGTAGCCGTACCCAACCGAGAGAGAGAAACATGGAGAAGAGGGGGTGATGTCCAACCCCTGAGCGCCAGTTACACTCGATTTTACACGTCGAGCTTGGTGCCCCCCCGAGTCTTTGATGCATCGGCTCCCGCCCTCCTCTGCGCCTCGAGCTCGTACCGCTCCTTCAGCTGTTCCTGGAGCGGCAGTCGGTTCCGGCGCCAGACACCAACAGCGCACAGCACACCGACAGCCACCACCGCACAGCACACAATCATGTCCTCACGCAGCGCGTCTGTGTATGCCGTCCGTATGGCTGCCAGCTGTTCAGATGAGAGCTCTCCAACTCCCGCGCCCGAGTGGCTCAGCTGTTCCGCGCCCGCAGAACCCGAAGATCGAATCTTGGTGCCTAGCACGGCTGATGAAGCTGCAATTCCAATGCTCCCTCCCAGGATACGAACCTGTGAGATAAGGCCCTGGGCGGATGCTAGTACAAGAAACCATGTTAGTTCGTGATCAGCCCATACGGCTGCTAAACAAAACATACCATGTTCCCGAATTGGCGACTCCATGATCCCTGACATCGTAGAGGCCGTCGCCGAGAGCCCAAACCCCAGACCGATAAAGGCTAGGAAGCCCAAAACCCTTGGCTCGACTGCGTCTGCTGATGTGGCGGTTGTCTCCGCCGCGCAGCCAATGATCATGAAGATTCCCGCCACCATCAGCGTCTCCGCGAGCATATTCTTCTTGTTGTTGATGATGCCACCCACCATGCTACCAATCGCCGTCGCAGCCAGCATCGGTAATAGCATCAGCCCCGCGTCGAGCGCGCTCTTGTTGTTGACGATTTGGAACCGGATGGGGAAGATGTAGATGGCGATGAAGTAAGGGAAGCCCATCAGTATCGTATTCAGCACCGTCGCTGTGAAGGCGCGGTTTCGGAGGAGTACCAGCGGGATGGTCGCTGCGATCATTCCCGGCCACCTGCGCTCGAGGTACACTTGCCAGGCAAAGAGGGCAGCGAGACTGGCGAGGCCAGACAAAAGGGGCGCCAAGAAGATGGCGTCCGACCACCGACCGTTCGCGCTGGCATTTTGAAAGGGGAAAACAATCAGGACCGCTGCCGCTACGCTGTGTTCCGGAGTGGTCAGCATTGCGCACCGTCTCAACAAGGCAACGGGGATTAGCAAGCCCGGGGATACTCACAGCAGGAATGCACCCAGGAAATCAAGCTCTTTCCACTTCCTTCGTTGGAGTGACGGGAGGTACTTCTCCTCAGGCCATGCGAAGAGAAATATGAGAGCCGCAGTGCCGCCAATTGGGCCGTTAATCCAAAAGACCCATCTCCAGGTCGCGTACTGCGTAAGGATGCCACCAAGAAGAGGCCCCAGCACCCCCGAGACAGCAAGAACAATGCCAATGATGCCGGCGACATACTGCTGGAACTTGTCTGGCGTGATCTCGGGGAAGATAATCATGGTGAGACTATACAAGCCTACATCTGTGTCAGATGAGATACGCACATCAGGCCGCGACGGATAGCATACCAGACCCGCCAATTCCCTGGAGCGCCCTGAAGGCGATGAGTTGGTTTAAACTCTGTGCGAAACCGCAGGCGAGAGAGAAGACGACAAATATGAAGTAGGCGGCGAGATATGCCGCCCTCCGGCCGACAACATCCGAGATGCGAGCGAAAAGGACGACGCAGCTGAGGTTGGACAGGGTGTAGGCCAAGGCCACCCAATTGATGGTCTCAATCTCGTGGAACTCGATGGCGATGGCGTACATGCTTGTGGCTACAATCGACGAGTCCAACACCGCAAGGAAGAAACCCAAGGCGAGGCTAGACCGGGGTCCGCTTTGTCAGTCTTGCCCGCGTGGGTCAGTTACCCCCTTTCGAACATACGACTTACGCTATTCCCAACATGATGTATCGCAGTTTGGGCAGAGACGGCCTCAGTAGCTCCCCTTCATTACTAGAGCTATCGATGATCGTCTTGTCACCCTTCTCGCCCTGCTGGGCGGGGTGAGCGGACGACAAGTCCTTTTCCGGTGCCATTTGTGAACTGTCTGATGAGTCTGATGCTGTGTGGCGGTCCTGCTCTTTGGGGGTGCCGGCAGTGTCCATCGTGAGATGTTCCGGTGCACAGGAAGCCGCAGAGGATTTATGACCGTTGGCAGAGGTGGAGCTTGATATACTTTATATGCGGCTGCAAAGCAGAAGTATGAATGATACTGGTGTTCTGCTTGGGTGGAACCACACAGCTTATAAGTGATGAGATATCTGTGGCTGATGACCCCGCTCCCCTTGTCGTAACAAACAAGACGGAACAATTAATAGAGTCTTTTCACGACTGCCTCGCACTCGCACCCGACGTATGTCGGTCTAGCATAACTAGAAAAGGCTCATGGTGTGCGTGTGCGAAGAAGGTAGGTACGGCCGAAAAGAGGCAGGATGGACAATTAGGGCCGCCGCACGACGTCCGGGTCGGACCCGGCGCATCATCTTCATATTGCCCCTGCCATAACGCCCAGAGCTTGGGTCTGTGGTTCGAACGTGGTTGCAATGGCCGCGGCGGTCGCAGGAAAAGCGGGATAATGATGGCGCCGTTGGGAAGTTGCACCATGGCCCAAAGCGGCGCCGACATGGGGACGGAATAGGAATCGACCTCGGGACCTGCGACTATGACCTGCTTGCTAGCTCAGCGTAGACCAGGCAAGCCCAAGCATGCCGGGATCCGAGCAGCGGCGAGAAATCCCAAAGTGCGGCGGCTATCAGTCGGCACTACGTAGCAGCTCTGCTGTGTTGACGTGCCCATTCAGTCGCAGCTTTGACGGTTCTCGCCAGTTCGATTGCTGACGCGATTGGGTCTTTGGGTCGTTGAGTGTTGAGACGCGGCTGCACTCGCACTCGCATTGCAGCAGCCGCTCGCCAGTTTGACGCTTCCGACAGGCTCTTGGCTGCGCTAGCGCCCACATCTCGCACTCGCTAACGCCTGATTGGAACCCGAGCGGTTTTAGCGGCCATCAAACAAGCGAAAGGAAGGCATGATTGGTCTTTGCTTCAACCCGTCGGCCGTAGATTCGAGGTGGAAATGGAACCCCCCTTCATGGTCATTCCGATGGGACCCTAACCTAAAAGGCAGTGAAAGCCGCAACGATGGGTTTCTCATATTGGTCGTACCGTCCTCTCTTTGAGCACATGCATATTCCAGCATGCGTCGTCATTCGCATTCGCCTACAGAATACTCCAGGCAGCACTGAACTGGAAGGAGCAACAACTCAGCAACCTCCCAGCCTGGATATGTCAATCCGTGCACAAAGAAATAAAGCTGAGAAGCACGATAATCACTCCGAGTCCCACGGCGTGGCTTTGGTTTTTGCACACCGCGACCGGCCCGGGTCATTTTGCCGATTACCTTGGCTTCGTTCCACTGCTTTCCCATGAACCAGGCGCTCGGATTTCTTCACTCGGGCTCATCCACGCAACCCTAACCCCTTCTAGCACCAAATATTCAGCCCAATGACAACATCACACATTGAGGCCTGAGCAGTCGATTTAGCTCAGAGGCTAGATTGGCGATATCGATTTCCCGGTTTAGCTGAGATATGGGCGGGCGCTTTATCCGTTCCACCTTGGATGTCCAGATTCGCTCTGTGAATGATTGTATCCGCGGCTGGGATATCCCCGAGTTTCTCAACCCCAGTATCTGACTTGACTCCATAACACTGCTCTCCGAAGCCCATCAACCGCATCCACAGACAGAAAACATACAAATCAACAAGGTAATGTGGCCGAGCGGTTAATGCGCCATGTTAAGGTTAACCCTTAATACAATCTCTCGATTCCGTGGTCCGAAAGGGCGTGAGTTCGAATCTCACCGTTATCAAGCATATATTCTTGCTGGCTAGCGGTCTATTCGCTCAAAACCTCAGCCATATCCTCGCAGTGATATTAGCCCCAGGACACCAGCAATGTGGCTTGAAAAACAGCATCAAGCGATGACTAGGGCAAGTACCACGAGAACCCCACGGTTGGTAAGCATTCGTGCCTGGATGGCCGAGCCTGACTTGGTCTCTCCTTTCATGTTCAGTTCCATGTGATCTTTCCATTGCTATTTCGTCAGGTGGAAACACGTCCGGTAAAGGCGGGCCAGTCTGAAGAAGTGAGCAAGTGCATCATGCGTGCCAGGAAAGGCAAAAAGGACAGGAGAAAAATTACTACAAACCCCACCCCCCCCCAGATGAGAATCTTCCTCTGCTTCTCTCAACTCAACTGGGGTACGTTTGCTTCGGAATGGGTGCATAGGCCAGAACTATTGTAGTATCACCTAGCGTTAAAATTTAAACATTTCCAACTCGATGTATTTGGTTTCGAATCGTCTGGTGAGAACAATGCACGATGCTAGCAATAGAGCATGACTCCTGAGTCAGGCACCATGGTGATCGGCCGCAGTTGACATCTGTAACTTGAAGGCAGTGTGAGAACTCAGGCCTTAGTACAATATTGCGAGCAGACGACGGCTTTTATAGTGCTCCGAGAGAAAAAATCTCGAATAGTTTCAAGCTTTGAGCTGGACAGGTAGGAGCTATGACTACGTATCGCCTACTATTTGATACAGGCCCCGCATCACCTACACACTTGCTGAAAACCGTATCATTATAGTTCTCTTATTCCATGACTCATGCACACTCAGAGACTGGATGCAAAAAGAAAGCAAGAAGAGAAGATGCGAGCAAGGCAAAAAGTAAGGTATATATAGCTGCGGTTGGCTTCGATCCAACGACCTCCGGGTTATGAGCCCGGCGCGCTTCCACCGCGCCACGCAGCTTGGTCTCCTATTGATGAAAACCCAGTCCCAATATTCTGCCTTTATTGTAGTCCACCCGTGCCGGAAGTGGCTATGTTTCATTTTTTTGTCCTGGTTGCCTATAATGACTCACTTCATTGTTTAGGGGTGCACACTTCGACACTGTGACCGCTTGACGGGCTCTCCACTGACGGCAATACTGGATAAGAAAGTAATTACGGGTTCAACGTGGAGGGTAAAAGTATATTGAGTGGATGTCAATATTTACAAATATGAGTGAAAGATGGTGTTGGGGGGGGGGGGGGTTGTTCAGGGGCAATGTCGACACCCCCAAATGGCTAGGGTTTAAATCTTGAAGGTCACATATTGCCCGTACCTAGCATATAGCATGGATATAAAGAGTTAAAGGTTCAACAGGACTGCCACTTGCTGCATAGCAAGAAATTCATCAACAACTCAAACTCAATAAATTCACTGAACCAAGAGACCATCACCAAGTCAGCAACATGCTCACATCACTACTTGTTTAGCTATCTAGATCCCGTCTCTACCTTGACCATGCCTCCTGAATGGCAGCCGGAGATGTATCACCGGTCCTTGAAGGGAGCGAGCCTCGAAGCTTACCGGATCAACAAAATAAGTCTTTGTCATCATCACCAACCTTCATATTCTACCATGGAACAACTTATCCATCCCAAACAAGCTATTCTCATTTTATGCGCACAGTATCACTACCCCCACAGCTCCTAACTGACCCAGATATTACCAAGCAACACCGTTTTGGCGGGCTATTGTTTCCTCGTCACCGTTTTCTTTCTATTTCCAGCCTCTACTAGGTATTTTCTCCTCCAGGATAACAAGGCCCATCCCTCTCAGAGAAGCATAGTGCGGATAGAGTGTGGTTTCAGGTGAGGCTTAGCCTTTCTTCGCCTTGCCCAGGTTAGGCAGGTGGGTTGTGCTGCAAGCCGCTCGATGCAGAGTGGTGGACTGACAAAACGAGAAACGCCGTCTCTGGAAACAGCAGCTGGAGTGGGCGGCTAGAACAAGAAAACAGAGTTCTTGGGACCACGCAAGAGAATATTGGGGCTTTTAGGTTGAGTAGCATCGTGCTGCAACAACACACTGCAATAGCGGGCGGGAAGGGAAACCCGCATGATGAAGTGCTTTGGGTCGGGATGCCGCATTCCACGGCGTGGTCTGCACGGACTTAACAGGAGGTGCAGGTTTTGTTTGTAACAAAACCGTAAGCTGCGCTGTGATGTGAGGTTGGTTGATGATGGACTGATAGGAGAGGTAAAGAGGTGGAAAAAAAAAGAGGCGATCCTGTCTGTGCACTTGCAGCTGTACTTGCAGATTACCGGGATGCATCAACAAACACCACGGGCTTATGTAGTGTAGCTTAAGATGGGTGAGAGACGGAATATGGATCAGTGGCTGACGATAGGTGCAGTTGGAGACCTGAAACATGTTTCAGGAGTCCGGAAAAAGAGAAGGTTTGCCGGGTGGTTGGGTTGAGGACAGGCCGTGAAGTGCGGAGGGCGGAGGGCGGAGGGCGGAGAAGGTCCGGGTGTTTGCTGTGCCTCCCGCATACCTGCCGCCGGCGGTTTTTAAAGAAGTGGGGAAGCCTAGGTAGGCGGGCTCCCGAGTGCGACGATTTGCTTCATCCCTTTCCTGGAGCCTAGAGAGCCTTGGCGTGTAGAGAGCTAGACCCGCTAGCGCGCGGTGTTTGAGTCCCTCAACCGGAGAGTGAGATAGGTGTAATCATGGTCGCGGACACTTGCACGAAAAGAAAATATTCATGTCGATACGTGGTTTGATACACCCCGATGTATTCGACTTGGCGTGTCCACGGTCCGTTGTGGTTTGATACTTTGTCATTGGCATCAATCCAATTCGGAGTCAATCATATCTGCCTCCGGCTTACGAGGAGGGAGCACGACACCTCCGTGGACTGTGTCCACGAGTCTCGGTCGTGGAGCCGATCTTGATAGGAAAATGGTACGGATGGGGCTCGGATGGTTAACAAAACCATACTTTGAGACACAAATCCCTGGAAAACAGGCCAAAAAAAAGAGTACATGTTGGAGAGATGGTGTACAAAGGCAGTACAAAGGCTGAATCGCCAGGCAGCGCCGTATTGCAGGCAAAACATGGTATGGTTGACAAGCCTTGCAGTTGATATGCTTATATCTCTACTAGCGCTAGGTCCTAGAAACCAAACATTCAAATATCTTGTCACCGCCACGAATGACCCGTCGGGACTTCATGCCGTTTTCGGAGCCTACAAGGGAGCCCCCCCGGTCGCGACGGTGTTTTTGCCGGCAGTAAAGTGCACCTGCCGATGGGACTGCCGGACATCGTGGTAGTTCTGGTTCGTGGAGTCGAATGCTTGAAGCTGGATGTGAGGATGGATTGTGATGTGATGGTGGTGGATGGGTCTGAGCGTCCGCTGTAAGTCCCAACATCGCGGCGGTATGTGGCAGGATGCCGAACCCACACATGTGCGATCCGCAAGGGGATGGCGCTGAGGATGCGCTGCTGCGGGGCAGGTCGAAAAGAGATAGTAGCACAAACCCACCAAACTCGACGGGAGCCAGAGAGAAGGAAGTGCTGGGCAGTGCGTGTGGCGACTTCATCGGGTCGACCCCTTATCCCGAACACACCATTTCCCCGCATTCTATACACCTCAGAATCCGTGAGAACTGAGAGACCGAAAAACTGGCAGCATAGGGAGAAGAGCTCCATTCCCCCCCCCAATTGGATGACCATCGTTGTGACAGTGTCCTGTCAGCCACCTTCGAATCGCAATATAACGAAGGCCCATGGAATGTTCCTCTTCATTTATTTCACGTCTGGTGCCATCTCCTGCCATGCTGACCTTAAAAGGCAGGTGGTGTCAGCGTCCTTCTCACCGTCGGCTGGTTGAGATTGGTCCCTCGACTCATCCACCCATCCACCGCTCGCCATCGCCCACCTTCACGAGCCCCATCACCCCCCTCTCACACCACACCAACCCTGCGCAGTACACTCCCCCCGCATCTCCACCCACGTTTTTTGTGTCTCTGTGTGAACCCCTGTCAGAACCTTCCCCGCACACCAGCAGAATCTCAGATTTGGACAGGGGTCTCAGAGACCAAGTACCCTGTACCAAGCCACCCGGGATGCCCGACGAGCACTTGCCCCTGTCCATCGAGTCACTGGAACTCGAGACATAGCGGGCCGCAACTCCAGATTGCGGGCGGGCTTCGACGCGCCCAGCCGCAGATTCACCCGGCCAATCGTGTCCGCCCGTCCAGGCCCCAAACGTCCACTTTGGGCAATGGGAACCCATTCTCTGCCCTCGCACCACCGGCAGCGCGCCATCTCCAACGCTTTCCTTTCTTTTTCCTCGCGCCTTCTTTCGACGTCGCTTGCTCACGACCCACTGCGAGTTCACTCAGAGTGGAATGTCTTCAGAGACACAGGGCAGGTAAACGTAGCGAGGCTGTCAAACCAAGGGACGAAGCATGCAATGGGCTGCTTGAATGCGCTGCTACTTGTCGTCTTTTCTCCTGATAGATGTGCCTAGACTCGCCTAGCCATCCGTCGATTTAACTGTTCATGTCAGTGTCTGTCATGGCTAGGCGGTCAGAAGGCTATCTTGGTGATGGCCCATCGGTCTCCTACTCCATATGATATTGCGGAGACATCTCCCTCCCCGATCATCTCGATGGTCAGAGAACCAAGACGACGTCTTGATCCTTCAACCAATTCTCCCCGGGCAGCCTCACGCACTCTTGGCGTTCTGGCGGATCGGCCCTCGTCTCCTCGTCCCCGTTTCTATCCGTGATGCATGCCGTGATGCATGCCATCGTCCGGACAAGTCGACTCGTCGCATTCATCTCGTCCCCTTCTTCCCTCCCTCCTCTATAGCACTCCATCAATGTGATGAGCCTTGCCTGCCCAGATACCCAGCCTACCTTACGTACACGAGCATAGCCCGAACTTCCCCAATCAAAATCACCAACGGCACTTTCTTCTGGGCCGCGGCGCATCTCACGGCGTAGTACGGCGCGGTGCCGGAAAGGCAAAAGGTGCCT